AAAATAAAAAGAATATTGATGTGGCTTCTGCTGGAGGATTAATTCCATTTCTTCGTATACTTCATGCGCAACAAGGAGCAACGGTCACATCGAATCTTCCTTTTGAAAATGCAATTTCTGTGGTGGACTCTGATGTAATGAAAGCAACTTTAACTATCGGTGACAGACCTATTAAATTATTCGAATTTTTGGAATTTTTGGGAAAAGATAACCTTCAAGTCTTTGATGCCGAGAGAGCTTCTAAATTTAGAAAATTGACCGGATCCGCTTTTGGTCAGGAAGGTAAATAATCTGTAAGATAGCATACTTTATATCTTTATATTATGCCCTACTTAATACCTTTTAGGTTATTTATTTATTTAAATGGTTTAAATTAATAAATAGCTTTGGAGACCAAATATGAAGATATGCAAAATATTGGTGTTGAGTTTATCAAGCGATGGGAAGCAAGTTTGAATTCGCAAAACGATATTATTAGAATGCAAGAGCAATGCCTCGAATTTTCATTGCGAGTAACCGCAAAAGCTCTTATAAGGTAATTGAATAAACTGATTACATAAAAATGATACTTCACGATTCTTTTTTTTCTTTTGTTATGCGAGCGAAACATTGTATAATTTCTCCATATAAAATCGCCTTAAAAAAAAGTGCCGATACGTCTCAGGATTTAGACTTTAAAAAATTTCAACAATCTTATGACGTCGTGTTGAGTGGCACGTTCGATAAACAATTTGGTATTCTCGACGATCGTCGTGAAAAAGAATTCCAAAACTCACTCGATACTTATCGTGCTATACTTGACAAGCTTATTAATGATAGGAAGAATAGGAACATCGAAGTAGAAAATATGCATTTCAAAGATTTTCTTGATATTTTAGTAACGGAAAATGATCCAAAAACTGAGCGTCCGTTTAGTGATGAAATGGTATGTATGTAAATTTAATAAGAATTGATATAATAAATACTAATAACAATAATGTATTAATTATTGAAAATAGTTAAGAAGTTTGGTGGGCGTATATTTGACGGCTGGATATCATACTACTGGTGTTGCAATTCCTTTTACTCTATTCGCTTTAACACAGAACCCTGAAGTTAAAATAAAACTTCAAGAGGAAATTGACGAAATGTTACAAGATCGGTTACCAACACTAGAAGGTATGATTTATCATACTGAATTTTATAAATTTAATAACGAAATAAATTGATAAAACTACCCATGATTTTGTCATATAATGAAAGACTTATCCAAGATGGATTATCTAACACAAGTGGTAAAAGAAGCTCTTCGAGTTCATCCGCCAGGTTCTTTCTGCGCTCGTTTATTAAAAACAAGATCAGCTCTCCCGAAATCATTAGAAAATGTCAAAGTTCAAGATGAAAACATTACATTATTATATTGTATTCCATTATATCACGAGAATCCGTTATATTTTGCTAACCCAAAACAGTTCAATCCATCTCGATTTTCACGAGAAAACATAAAGAGTATTAAACCAAACACATACTGTCCATTTGGATTTGGAGCTCGAATTTGTAATTAATATTGGATTGGATTTATTATTCTTACCGTATATGAATTGATATTTAATTTATTTTAAACTAATAATTTTTTTTTTTTTAAAAAAAAGGTCCGGCAGAGAGATTCGCTATGGTTGATATCAAAATGATGATCTGTATGATTTTACAAAAATTTGATATCGAATTGGCTATGCCAATAGAAGAAGTAAAAATGGAAGAAAGATTTACTGTTATGGCTAAAAATGATATTTTGGTAAAACTTAAACCAAGGAGTAGTAGAAATGCCTAAAAAAGAAATGATTGCAAATTAAGTTTTTTTTTTTTTTGATTATTTCATTATATATCAAATATTCTTTTAAATATTCAACAAATATTATGTATTAAATATAAACATTACGAGGACTGTACATAAATTTATAATCGTTACTTTTTGTTATACATTACTTATATAACTTTGAAAATAATGTATGAAGAAACCGCATTGTTAATCATAGCGCAATATAAGTAAAAAGTCTACCACCCCTGCGTAACAGAATCTGCGTTCTGAACAGCTCCTCGTGGATCATCTTTCCAAAAGACAAAATGTCCTTGCAGCTGAGCGGTACTAACTCCTTTTCCTCTAATCTTCTCCACAAATCTTTCTGCTAATTCAGTTTCATTCTCATAAAATCTCAAAAACATTGTACGTATCTGATAATCACTTGCCACATCCAAATGCTCCTTAAGATCAACTCTACCCGGTCGTATCAGCGCCTGTTGAAGTCGATCCACATAATTTGTTGTCATGAAAATTATGCGTTCTTCTGAGGCTGCAACGCCATCCAGCGCGTTTAACAAACCGCTTAATGTTACAGATGAACTATAACTAATTTATGATAAAAATTTTGATCTTAATATATTTGTTTTTAGGGAGACATTTATCACATAATATTTTTATCTCTATCAAATGTAGAGTGCGATCCATATGAACTAAATTTTGAATCAAGTCATGATAGAAAACTGTCGAGATCACAATCAGAACTGGTGATTTTTAGAGAAATAATCAATAACTCTTAATTGTACCTAAGAAACCATTGCTTTTCTGAAAAAAAAAAGAATTCCTTGCGAAATTTTGTCTAGACGTCGCCCATTTTTGATTCTAGTCTAACTTAACGAATTTATGTCATGCGTTCTGATTGGAGAGCTAACACGTAATCTCAACGTTTTCTGCCCACAACCAATCTACTCGAATAATAATTACAAGTAAACCCATGTGTAATAAATGGCGCACCCCCTACTAATTTTATAATAAAACCTTACCCTGGTGTCTCACGCTTTGGCATAAAAGCCGCATCAATATCTTCCAAGAGCATTATACTACGTTCTGGAGCATTGCTCAGAAGATGATTCAATCGATCATCAGTTAAACCAGCCTCACTTAAATTTAGAATACATATGTTATATTCTAATTCACCAGCGAGTGCCTGTATAAAACTACTTTTGCCACTTCCTGGAGGACCATATAACAAATATCCTCTACGATACGGTATTCCTTATTGAATTTTTTAACATTAATAAGAATTTTTAAAATATTGATAATTAATAGTAAATTTCTTTAATTACCTCGCTCGTTATACCAATTACCATTATTAATAAAATCTTTAACATCTTTGACAATACGTTCTTTAACACCTTTATCTAATATAACGGAATCCAGCGATCTCCGTTTTCGTGGTAACCCAAAAGGTCTCCATTCTGGACCCCAGCTTGTGTAAATCACCGTTTTACCCTCTTGTTGAGCAAGAGCAAGTTCCTGGGCTTCATGTAATAGATTCGTGAAAATATTACGATCTCGACTTATGGTTGTGAGAGTCACGGTTTCCCAAGGACTTCCAGTTGTTATATCCAACATTTTATTATCTCGAGTGCGTTCAACCTAATTATTTATTTATTTAGTTATATGAATTCCAACTGAACGGATTTGAAATGCATGCAAAGCATCTAATCAATCGAGTTTACATGAATTACAGTGCATTTGATCTTGAGAATTGATACAGCTTTGGATACATTTCAAATTCGTTCAATGAGAAGCACATCATTAATATTCCGCAAAAGATTAAAAAATAAAAGGAAAAAAAGGACGAAACAATAGAAGAAAAGTAAAGTCTAAAGTCATCAATTATAAATTCTATTAAATAAGTGTTTTCTTTAGGGGGCGTCTTTTTAAAAAACACGTCTATATATAGATAAATAGAAAAAGGTAGAACACCTAGGGAAGGGGGTAATTTTGTCAAAATAAAAAACACGTGTTTTCTGACCTCCCCTAAGAGAATGAACACAATGATTTACCTGCAACCATACACCTTTCCATTTAAAAAAATGCTTTCCCGGACCTGGAACAAGTTTAAAAGCAGCACTCACACTACCATTATCGTGTTGCACAAAAGAAGTCTCGACAGCAAGTTGATGCGCGTTTCTTATCGACTGTTTAGACATCCAATGTAAAAACCAAGCATATGATTTGTCTTTCGAGGGAATTTCCAACGAGACCAATAAATGACGACGAGCTAGGGTCATTCCACGGGTTAATCCCTGACGAAGGATAGCTAGGCTAGCGCCTACTCCCAGTACACCAACACCAGCAGAAAAGTAGGGGTTTGAAGAAAGAAGTGTGCTTAAAAGAGGAGAGTCGGGCATAATTAGTAATTAGATATCGATTATCGATTTCGGTTTAAAAATTTTCTGACCAATGATATTATCTGTTAATTGATTTTCTACGTATACAAAGTATACCGCCTATTTAATTAGCCAATTACGATCAATATTATCAAATTTCTGTGTAACAATTATAAAAAGAGCCAAAAAACCAAAACCAAATCGGCCGATATGCATATCGATAAAGTTTAAATTATAAAATAGAACAGTCTTTATGATAAAGTGAATCATTTTTAGTATCAGTTTAATAATTATTGTAAATGATCTTACGCCTCTGCCTTCTTTTCAATAAAAAATATAAAACAAGAAAATAATGCGCATTAATAGTTAACAAGGTTGGTGTACAGTACCTACGTACGTATATAGCCAGTACAGCCCCAATTTTTTTTTTTATGTTAAACAAAAGAATTTCTATTATCCGAAAATAGAAAAAAAAGTTTTTTAGGAATTATTGCTGGTTCTATTTATTGATCGAATTATCGTGGATTCTGAAGATCAATGTAAAATGGTACACATTTTCTGTATACGGACCATTGCTTGGTCCTCCGAAAAATGTGACATATAATAGGAAAGTGTTACATCTAAATCTATTTTAGCTAGCCATTGTTTTTTTTTTTCTGTTCTCCTTTTTTTTCACTTCGTTTACAAATATCGGTACAAATCGCAAATTCCTTAATTTTTTTGTAAATAATTATTATTGGTGCGTGGAAACAAACGACCTTTATTTGTTTCTACCGTTGTTCGGTTTAATTTTTTATTATTTCTCTTAATAATTTGGTTTTTAAGTAACCTTGTACAAAGCTCCCCGGAAAAATACGAAGCCATGCTTACCGTTATTCACAACTTATGTTGTAACTACTTTGCTCATTATACCTTAATTATTCGTCTTACAGCAACTTTTTCCGAAAACATCCTTTATTTTGTTACGCTTGTTTAGTATCTGCTTTGAATTTTTTAATTAATTTATCAAGTTAATCCATCATCTTTGATTTTCTATGTCAAGTGCTGATTCAGACTCAATACATTCCATCGATGTCCCTCCACCCGTCCCACCAAAGGATGAATTTCGTCCTGCAATCCCGCCAAAAGATTTTCCAAAAACATTCTTTTCTACCATTGGTCCCTCCAACTCTAGTGATTTGAATTTTAATGAAACACCTTCAACTCCAGAGGCAAACACAGCAAAGCGTACAAAAAAACCTTTAAAAAAATTTCAATTTTCTGCTTTAGGCTCGTTGTTTGCTCCTGCTACTACCACAAAATCAACGACTACAGACGATGATGTCCCTCGGATATCTTCTCGTTCTGATAGTATGTTTTCAAAATTTTCATCTTGGTGGTCAAATTTGAGACTTAAACCAAGAAATACTACAAATGTTGCACCAATAGCGATACCTTCAACATCATCTTCAGCTGCATCATTAATTACTCCTCAGATAACAGATGATATAAATAATACTCAACAAATTCCAAAAGTCAAAAAATCCAAGAAAATAACCGATCTGTTTCGGAAGATTAGTTATAAAAAAAGAGAAAAATATAATAATAATAATGTCAATAATAATAATAATAATAATAATAATAATGGATCAACCGTGACTGTGGTGGATGAAAATTTATCTTCTGGAAGTTCATCTGTACCATCCAGAAATCCACCTAATAAAAAGAATAACTTTGGGACCTTTATAGAAAAATTGAATCGTAAATTTTCTTTTAGTTCTGGGTCACGTCCAGCAAAATCGTCATCATCATCATCTACTTATCAAAATGGAAGTATTACAAAAGAAAATGCCAAACAAAAGCAAAAGTTAGTTGACGATCATGACCTTACAGCTTCAACTCAAACTTTATGTCCTGATGAATCTTCAATTTCAACAACTCATTCTACTGCTGCTGAAACCATAGAAACACATGAAGAAGATGAAAATATTGAAGATATAGCAGTAGATGTTTTGGGTCCTTTAAGATATTCGATGGCAAAATCTAATGCATCAGATGACACGATAAGAGGTGCATCAGGAACAAATCGTCATAGTCGACTATTTGATATTTTCACTTCTAGAAGTTCTTCTCAGCGTGGTTCAAGTTCTTCTCGTGCAAGTCGTGGAAGTGTTGTTCCCACAACAAATGGTATTCCTAACCGTCATATTAGAGTCAATTCAAATTCTATGAAAGATCCAATAAATGTATATGAAACACAACAAGAAAATTATGAAAATCGTATTTCTATAATAAATAGTGATAATTTTATGCCTCCATCTTCTACTAATAATTCTTCACAAATATGCTCAAATATTGATATGCCATGTTTTACACTTGAAAATGAAGGAGAGGGTAGCGTATCCGGAAATGATTCCGCAACAGAAGGACAAGCTAAATCAGAAATGTCTCCATTGCGTATTTTTAAGAAGAAATTTTACCAAAATTTCCTACCTTCAAATAATCAAGAGTTAAATTTAAAACATAAGGTCGAGTCCACACCACTTGTTGATGATGATTCCGATGATGGTTCAGATGATAATAATGATGTTAATGATGAACTTGATAACTTAACTCTTGACGATGGTGTTGATGGAGATGTTTCTACCACTCAATCACATGCACCTAGTTCAAATTTATACACGTCATCAGATCATGATACTACCTCCAGCAAACAACCATTTTCCCGTACATCAAGTTTTGCTAAACTTTCCAATTCTCTTATGTTCTCTGGTAATTGTGTTAATAAGTTTGACTTCAATTCTAAAACTTTTAACTGACGCAATGAACATACTGATAATGGTAGATCTTCGATATTATTGTTGTTTAAACGTAATACACATAAAGATTTTAATCGACCGATTGAAGAAGGTAAAGTTACAAGTTGATTATTGTCTAAATATAATAATCGCAACTTGGTTAATTTTCCAATGTCCATTGTTAATGTTCCTAAGAAATTATTATTGACTCTTAATTCTCTTAATGTCTTAAGTTTACATACGCATGTTATATCAGAAAGTACATTATTGTCCAAATTTAGACGTCGTAAATTTTTCAACTTTTTAAATTTTAATCTTGGATTAATTA